GAGCAGCAGGAAGGCAAAGAACATGGACACCGTTTCCAGACCTGCAGATGAAACTGGATTAATTAAACTCCACCAGTTGATCTGGACGGACCACAAACACTCCAGGGACATGTCCACTTCGGAACCGATTCACAGAGAAGGAGCCTCATTTTTACTTATCAGAGAAAAGTTCCCCCCTCCTCCCTGCAGTTCAGTGAACTCACCCCCACTGCAGGCCTCCTCTGGACTGAACCAACAGAAGCTGGCGGAGGGGGGTTTTCCTCCAGGGAAGATGAAGGTGTGACTCAGAGGTTTCAGGCTTCCGACCGGCCCGTGTATGTGTGTCGGAGCGAGAGTGTGTGTCGGCACAAATCTGTCTCCATCGCTGTCCAACACCACGTACTTGGCCTGCATGCCCCGCCCCTCTTTACCTCCGTACACCACCTGAGAGATGAAGACGGAGGGTAATCATGACACTGAAATACTTCAAGAGCAGCCGGTGGGAAACTGTAAGACACCCGCATAAAGCAAGATGAAGTAACCCGGATTACTACAATTAAGTCTTCAGTCTGAACAATTCCTTCAATTTGAGACTTTAGTTACTATTTCCCATAACATCAATTTACGACAATGAAATTGTAATTAGTGAAATATATATTTATTTAGAATAAATTATAACATTTTATTTGATGTTTAATGGATAGACCTGATTGAAGCCCTGGAAATCAAAGCCTCCATCTGATTGGATGAGCTGGTTGCCTGTCACCCAATGCCCACCCCCTGCCTGACGACGCTCCTCCACCGCCTTAGCAACGAAGTACACCATGTTAAAGATGGTGCCGAAGATTGGAGACACCTGCAGACACACATGGCAGAGTTAACACACACATTAATATTCATATATGTGTGTGTGGATTTGGTGATGTGGAGTGTGTGTACAGTGTGTGTGTGTGTGGATGTGGTGATGTGGAGTGTGTGTACAGTATGTGTAGTGATGTAACCTCGGTTGCAGATACAGCAGTCCAGATCTCACGGTTGATCTGCGCCTGTCTGAAAGCTTCGTAGTGGTGTGAACAGTGTGTGTGTGTGTGTGTGTGTGTGTGTGTGTGTGTGTGTGTGTGTGTGCTATTCCCAATGTGCTATTTTCTGCATCTATAGCGCTTTCTGAACATCAAAGTCAAAGAATATGTGTGTGTGTGTGTGTGTGTTCAGTGTTAATGAGAGGGAGTAAAACTAGCCTAGTCCATGAGGTTGAGAGTGTGTGTGTGTGTGTGTGTGTGTGTGTGTGTGTGTGTGTGTGTGTGTGTGTGTGTGTGTGTGTGTGTGTGTGTGTGTGTGTGTGTGTGTGTGTGTGTGTGTGTGTGTGTGTGTGTGTGTGTGTGTGTGTGTTGTAACCTCGGTGGCAGATACAGCTGTCCGGATCTCACGGTTGATCTGCGCCTGTCTGAAGGCTTCGTAGAAGCTCTGGTCGGACGCCATGGTAACGGTGAGGACTGAGCTGTAAGCGTGGCGGAGCTTCGTGCTATTGGTCAGCTGAGGAAATGCTATGTCCTGATTGGACGAGGATAGAGAGATTTACCTGCACATGAACTTCTTCTAGGTATTTAAATGTATAAATATACAGTGATGTGTTACCTGGTACGGCATGGCGTACAGCAGCGCGTCGTATGGGATGAACACGTAACCGTCGGCAACCATCCCCATATCCAGAGCCGTCAGCAGGAGCTCCCGCTGATCCTCTCCACCAATCAGAACAGAGCTCATGCACATGATGACCACTGGAAATAAAACGTTCAAATAATTACATGACATAATGTAACATTAAACCTCCAGTAAATTACAGCTCTGTGTTTTCAGTGCTGACCTTTGACCTTGTCCGCCACTCTGATCGCTCGCAGAGCCTCCTGAGCGCCGCCGTTTTTATTGGTTTCCATGGTAACTACCGGACCAATGGGCAGCCCTAGTGCTCGGAGCGCCGAGGCCACTTCCTGTCCGGTGCTCTCCCAAAGGTCTGTTGGAGCTGATGACCAAACAGGAAGAGGTAGTGTTTACATAGTGCTAGACCACGCCTCCAAAGTGTCATCATGACAGACCACGCCCCAATCGTGTCGTCATGACAGACCACGCCCCCACGGTGACATCATGACAGACCACGCCCCCAAGTGACAACACAGACTCACCTGAGATGACGCCCACGTGCGCCCAGCGGAAGAACCGGAGCACGCTGAAGAGCACCCTGCTGGGCTGTGGGAGGGGCGGCAGGTTGGGCCAATCAGCACCCAGACAGCCTGGAGAGGCAAGCCCCGCCTCCCAGTGCTGAGCCAATAAAGAGGCAGCATGGCAGAGGGCGGGGCTAAAGGGGCCGATGTAAGCGTGTCCATAACCCTCCATGTCCCCGAGTTCTGTCAGTGCTGGAAAAAACAAGAGGAAAAGAGTTCATCAGGAAACTGAGAATACATTTGAGAAATTATTAAAAACAGAACGACTGACACAGACAGGCTCTGATTGGTGGATAACTCAGACAGGCTCTGATTGGTGGATAACTCAGACAGGCTCTGAATGGTGACCGAACCTTTGGAGGCGGAGCAGTCCTCGTCCAATAGCTTCACGTCGTACCAGTAGCCTCTGCTCAGCCCGGTGTCACTCCGTAACCGTGACAACGCCAGGTTGGCAGCTGCAGTCGGCATAGCGCGGGAGAAAAGGGGGTCACATGACCATGGTCCAATCAGAGCCAGCTTAAAGGTCGCCATCCACACCTCTGTGGAGCATAGCAACCATAGACATGATCCTAGCAACCACCGGGGACGCTGCATCCTGGTTCCTGTGGAGACGAAACAAATATTATTAACAGGACCTCTAATCCTGACGCATTGTGATGACATCCCTTCCTGGAACTCTAACAGAATTATCCGAGAGAGAACAGACTGTCAGCTAGGACCCTGAACGCACCACCTTTAAACCTGACTCACTGTGATGACATCACTTCCTGGAACTCTAACATAATTATCCGAGAGACAACAGAGGGTGTTTCTCAATCGCGAGTAAAGCTGCTTCAGAGCCACTATTTCAAGCATACTACGTCATCGAGTGCCTCTGAAGTACTGTTCCAATCTCCAGCATACTTGGAAATCTACCGAGCCCGGCGTACTCCGTTTGGAGAAATATCGAGGCTGCACATGAGTAGACTCCGCGGTCTTAAAATCCCCACAATGCTTTGCGCACGGACCAATTTCCCCTAATCTGTGGCGGAAGATGTAAGAGGCGGGGCCTCTCATATGACGCACACCTGCACACTTGCTAGCCTGTTCCACTCTTTGTTTTCTGAATGCCAGGAAGTATTCTTGACTCGCTTCTGAAGCAAGATGCTCGGCAGACATGTGCTACCAAGCAAGCGTACTCGCAATTGAGAAACACCCAGACTGTCAGCTAGGACCCTGAACGCACCACCTTTAAACCTGACTCACTGTGATGACATCACTTCCTGGGACTCTAACAGAATTATCAGAGAGAGAACTGAGGCCGTTTCTCAATGTCGAGTAAAGCTGATCCAGAGCCACTATTTCAAGCATACTACGTCATCGAGTGGCGCCGAATCACTGTTTAAATGCCCAGCATACATGTGCTACCAAGCAAGCCTCCTCGACATTGAGAAATGGCCAAACTGTCAGCCAGGACCCTGAACGCACCACCTTTAAACCTGACTCACTGTGATGACATCCCTTCCTGGAACTCTAACAGAATTATCCGAGAGAGAACAAACTGTCAGCCAGGACCCTGAACGCACCACCTTTAAACCTGACTCACTGTGATGACATCCCTTCCTGGAACTCTAACAGAATTATCCGAGAGAGAACAAACTGTCAGCCAGGACCCTGAACGCACCACCTTTAAACCTGACTCACTGTGATGACATCACTTCCTGGAACTCTAACAGAATTATCCGAGAGAGTGACAAACGATGTTTGTGTCGGTGTCTCAACCCAACTGACTGCTGTGACCTCCGACCTTGCAACCCTCACATGTTAATGCTGACTGCCACTAACTAAGTATAGAAACATGCTAACGCTCTTTACATTAGCGAGGATATGAGGGTCAATATTACATGGTCACCAATGTTTATGTTTATGTTTATGTTTATTAAGGATCCCCATTAGCTTTTGCTCTTGACAAAAGCTACTCTTCCTGGGGTCCGACACTTAAAACAATACAACAATAATACAACAATAATACAAAAACATTCAAGACATAACTCCTGACATCATTAACAACATTAACAACATCACCAATATCATCAACAATCTCCAACATCATCAACAATCTCATCCACTTTCAACTTCAATCTCAGCCAAGGGTGAGTGCACAAGACACCCACTGGCACAAAGCATGAGATCAGATTAAACGAGGGTTCACAGGTCACAGGGAACATGGTCATTAGTAGATGGCCCTTCAATCTCTGGTTGAAAGAGGCTCTGGACTCGATGTCAGCGAGGTAGTTTGGCAATGAGTTCCTTTATAGCTCTATGAGTCACAGAAGGTTTCCAGAAGATGGTTTAGGTGCCCGGAGATGGCCTGATGTAGCTTGTCTAGTCCTATGGTCGTGCTCGTCTCTTGTATAAACTATTTGATCATAAAAACACAGTGTTTTTTTGCTAAATTGGACATTTTTTAGAAAAGTGATAACACGAGATTGCAGACGTTTCTCAACCGGAAGCCATGATAGGTTTCTCTGCATAACTCCAATATGAGTGCGCTTCGAACAGCGGAGAGCGAGTCTGGCAGCCTTGTTTTGAGCTATTTGTCATTTCTGTATATATGTTTTTGCTGCTGATGACCATATGACCGGACAGTACTCAAGGTGTGACAAAACCAGAGACTGAATTACTTGTTTCAAAGTGGTTGGTGTTACATACTTTGTAAATGTTCTCGTCACAGCTATGCTCCTTCCCATTTGAGTTACGATACTGTCTATTTGCTTTGTCCACTGTAAACCAGAATCAAGAGCAATGCCAAGCAACTTCGTCTCTTTACCTGTTCCATGGCTGAGCAGCCCGTGTCAGGCTCAACTGAGGATTGCTGCTTAACATATGTCTGGATCCGAACACCATTGCTTTTGTTTTTGCAATGTTGAGTAGCAGTTTGTTATTGTTGACCCAGTCTGCTATGGCTTTCATCTCTATTTGAAGTAGATAGTGTAACTCACTGCATGTTGATGCTGTACTGTACATTGTGGAATCATCAGCATACATTATTACACTGGACTTCTTTAATACGTAAGGAAGGTCATTTGTGAATATAGAATACAACAAAGGCCCAAGCGAACTCCCCTGTGGGTCCCCACACTGCAACGCCTTACTTTCAGAAAAGCTCCCATTGAAACAGACTCGCTGCCTTCTCCTCGTCAGGTAGCTCTCCATCCAACACATAGCAACCGAACCAAAGCCATAGCTTTTGAGTTTGTTCAGCAGCAGACTGATCGATCACATCGGAAGCTGCGCTAAAGTCTAACATGACAGCTCCTACAAGCCTCCTATCATCCGTGCTCTTGAACCAGTCGTCTGTTATTTGTGCAAGTGCTGTACTTGTAGAGTGACCATCTCTATAGGCAGGTTAACACTGGGAGGAGACTTATAGGTCGACTATTGGAACCAGCAAAGGTCTTTCTTTTATCCTTGGGCAATGGGATAACCTTGGCTTCCTTCCAGATCTCGGGGCACACGCCTTGCTCTAAACTTTTATTAAAAATGTGACTCAATGGCTTGGATATGTATTTGGCCGTCATTTTGAGCAGTTTACCATCCAAGTTGTCAATCCCAGGAGACTTATCATCGGACAGATGTAAAAACATATTTTCAACATATTCTTCTGTAACATTGTGGAATTCAAACATGCAGTGCTTTTCCCTCATGATACGATCTGATGTGATGTGACACTGTGTCCTCGACTGCACCCATGGCTTTCCTCAGCTTGTCTACTTTACTTGTAAAATAATCATTAAAATGATTCTTAATATCTGCTGGCTTTGTAATGAATTGACCCTCGGTTTCTATAAAGGAAGGCTACATGTTTGAGTTCCTCCCCATTATGTTATTCAATATTTTCCATCATTTCTTTCCATCATTCTTAGTATCACTGATTTCCTGCATGTAGTATTCCCTCTTTCTACATTTATTCAATTTGGTTACCGCATTTCTTAGTTTACAGTAATGTTGTTTGTCACATACCTGTTCTGTCTGCAGTTTGTTTAGCATCATCTCGTTGGACCATTAAACTTCTCATCTCGTCATTCAACCAAAGTGCACACGTTGACCGGGCAGAGCATTGTCTCTGAGGAACATGCTGATCGGCAATCCCCATGAAAGACTTCATAAATACTCCCAGTGCTTTTTCTGGGTTTTCCTCGTGGCAAACATCAAACCATTGCACATTCTTTACCTCCTCTACACATTGCTCCTGATTAAACCCTGATAAGACCTTCTATCATTTATCTTGGAGCCAGCCTTAGGTATTTTGCTCTTGCGTACTATGGCAACTAAGTTGTGATCACTAAAGCCAACTGTCAGTGACAACACCTTAGCGCAGTGCTCTGGCCTGTTCGTATAGATGTGGTCAATGCAGGTCGTTGTAATAGCCCCATGTTGATTTGTAGCCCTTCTGGTTGGTGATGTTATTACCTGAGTCATATTACACATGTTGGCAGCTAATGCAATCTTGTTCCACATGGGGCATTTCTCATTGAAGGCATTGATATTTAGGTCTCCCATGAAATATATTACACTCAGCTGCATTATCTACCATTTCACAAATACCATCTAGATAGTTTGAATTGGCACTCGGTGGCCTATAACAGCATCCAATTAATATGGGTTTTAAATTTGGCAATTGTATTTGTAACCATAAAGCTTCTATTTCATTTTTCATTAGGTCGTATCGTACGTAGCTGGAATATGGTTTTGTACATAGATCAAAACTCCGCCACCATTCTTACCTCTATCCTTTCTGAACAGATTGTAACGATGCATTGCAACCTCTGTGTGGTTCTGAGATAGCCAGTATGTGTATATTATTTGATTCTACCAAATGGCATAGTTCATGCGCCCTATTCCTCAAACTACACACATTCAAGTGAGCAAGTAACATTCCCTTCTTTGGCAGATTAACAGAATGTGACATTGTACCGTAGCATCCTGGCAAGGACACGAAGATTCAGAGACAGTTGCTTCCCGCGGGCAGTGAGACTGTTAAACAATTGAACTGTTTAAACAACTTCAAAACATTCATCTGCTACTCAGTAGTATGTATCTAATACCTAATATATATATATCATTCCAATAACTTGTATATAGACTCGTACTGCACTATTCCACATCATCACTTTATTTTATAACTATTATTCTTTTTGTATTGCTCTTGCTCTTATTGTTATTATGTTATTATGTTGCATTGTTGGAGAAGCCTGTGACATAAGATGTTCAACTACATAATGACTCTGTAGCTATGTCAGATTGACAATAAAGAACCTTGAACCTTGAACCTTGAACCTTGAAGTGGTCATAATTAGTTCATATCAGATAAACCTTAAAAGTCCAGTGATACAATGAGGCTGTGGAGTGCTGTGGGGGCGGAGTGTCAGCTCGTCATGCCTCAGGAAGGCAACCTCTCCCCTCTCCCCTCTCCTCTCTCACCTCTCCCCTCTCCCCTCTCCCCTCTCCCCTCTCCCCTCTCCCCTCTCACCTCTCCCCTCTCCCATGCCTCAGGAAGGCAATCTCTCCCCTCTCCCCTCTCACCTCTCCCTCTCTCCCCTCTCACCTCTCCCTCTCCCCTCTCTCACCTCTCCCCTCTCCCCTCTCCCCTCTCACCTCTCCCCTCCTCCCCTCTCCCCTC